TTTTTTACCTTTATAAGATGTCCAAGTAAAATTACACTATTTCATGACACCATCAGTTTATGAACTTCTTCCAGAAATATTCATTACCAGACCAGATTCTCCTTGCCTCTCAAATTTTGTTTTCCTGTTCTAAAGAAAGTTAGTTTGCTAGCATCACCTTATGAACCTTAAGAAAACACAGTGGGGTTTTAAACTTTCTCCATTTACAAACTTAAACTGCCTACCGTCTATGTAAAAACAGAGGTTTTCATTCCAGAAAGATAAAAGCGTTGAAAGACAATGAGCCTGCTGTCAGGATTTTTGACAAATGTAGCCTTGGAGAGGGAAAAAATGCACCACTGTAGTGCTATAAAATGTGATGGCTAAATGCAGGTGATCAGAACACATGGACAGGAATATCTCATTCATCTTCAAAACCACTTACATGTATCATCACATAAAGAACTCTCTTGAAAGGAAAGAAGGGAGCTTTCTGAAGTATCATCATTTTCATTCAACTTAAATAGGTCCAACCCTCCCTGACTGCAATGACTCAACTCCATTCTCATTGGCTCATGAAGGCTAAAGTTATAAAAAAATATGATACATGACACAATCAAGACTCTCACTCAAGAGGGGTTTAACTTACACAACTGCCTTTAAAACAGTCTTTTTCTACTCGGGTTACTATTTTGTCCAAAGAAACTCCAAAACAACACCAACAACAAAACAAACAAACAAAAAAACAACAAAAAATACAGTTTACTTTGCTGCCAGGGGGATTTACATAATCCAAAACATACTGGGACAAAACACAAACTATTTCATCCTGAGAAGCAACAGTTCAACATATGACAAATCCTAATGCAGTATTATTAAACCTTCTCTCTCGCTTGCATCTAAAAGTCCTCTCCTCCCACCCCACTGCCTCAAATAAACTTTAAATCAGGGGTGGCTCCTCACCGGCAGGGGAAGTTGATGGTGGGGAAGCAGGGGTAGTCAGTACAGCCACCACCCCCCCATCGGGCTGGACCAGGGGTGGGCAAAATGCAGCCCGCCAAGCCATTCTATCCTGCCGGCAGGGGCCTTAAAAAACGTAGAAAGTTAATACTAATCTGCCCTGCGCTGCCTGTCATGCGGACCTCAATGGGTTGCCAAAACTCATTAAGCGGCCCTCCGCCCAAAATAATTGCCCGCTCCTGGGCTGAACTGAGCCCCTCTCCGCACCCCCGACCGTGCCAGCCCCGGCACCCAGCAGGACCCACCCACGCCTCCCGCCCTGACTGGAGAGAAGCATAGCGCGTGGTTGGCACCCAGCGCCCAGACCCGCAGAACCGGGCGCGGGCGGGACCTTCCTAGTCAGCTACAGACACCACCCGCACACGACACCCCGAGGCGCTGCCCACGCTGGGGTCCCGGCAGGGTAGGACTCGTGCGCGGCCCCCGCAGGGCTCCCAGGCACCGAGACGCAGCTGGCCTCCATGCTGGGGGGGGGCGCAGAGGCGCCGCACATCTGGAGCCCAGGTGCGGGGAAGCGGGGTGGGGTGTGGGCACTGCCTCCGGTCGGCCCGGCTGGGACTGGGGCTGGGGCTGGGTTAAGGCTAGGGCTAGGGCTAGGGCAAGGGAAGCAGCGCCGGCGGGCTGCAGCACGGAGCACGAAGGGCCCAGCCCGGCCGCGCTCACCTTGTAGCATGGCCTCCAGTTTCTTCCTGTCCACCCGGAATCGCTCCTCGCCCCACTCGGGGCTGCGCGGGGGTCGGAGGGCGGCCGCGTCCTCCTCGGAGCCGGGCGGCGGCGAGTCGGCGCTGCGCTCGCTGTTGGAGCCCGGCTCGGAGGGCAGCGACGGCAGGTAGCCGCTCAGCGGGTCCCCTTGCGCCGCCATGGCGCTGCCG